TAAGAGTTTGTGGTTGCTGACAAAATGATACGTTTAATAAGAGCGCGTGTGCGTTGAATGCAGGAGCGAAGGACGAGATGTATTGATGTTGTATGATCTGACGGTAGGAAATTAATGTGATGATGTGTTCTTTACAATAATATGTTAAATTGATATTGATTGATTAAAATTCCTCTGTTTAAGAATGTCGGATAAATATTAGTTATTGATTATTATATTAATTAAAATATAAAAAGAATTTATGATTTTCAACAACAATTGCAACAACTATATAGTGTATGTCATACAAACTTTACTATGATATTAAATATAATTTCTTTGGTCATAGGCTGATCATAACAATAATATACTGGTTGCTTCCAATTAGAAAACAGGCTCCTTACCATTACACACTGACAAGTCTTGTCCTATATCTTGTTCTATTTTCCTATCAATAGCTATTTTATTGTTAAGATAAATTTCATCGAAAGTTAACACAACCAATTTCTCTCGTGCATTTATGATTCTACCTTTAGCATGCATACAACGTAAAACTGGAGTTAATACACCCTGATATATATTAATGTTACTTACCCACCTGTGGAGTGTTGACAGGCCAGGAAGCGGAAATTTCAATACATTACGCAAGTACCGATATGCTTTTGGGCTTATACAACGTAACGATATTGCGTTTGCAATATCTTCTGATGACCAAGTTACACGTTTCTTTGTTGGATTCATCAAGACTTTGATCTGACCTGATGTAAAAACTTGGCTGAGAACTTCTCGCATACGTTGTTCCATTTGTTTTTCCATTTCTTTTCTTTCCATAATCCTTTCTTTTTCTCTTCTCTTATTTGACAGTGCAAGTGTTTTCTTCAATTCATCAAGTTCTTTTTGTAGATTTTTGCTGTAATTACGAAAATAAAATAATAATAGAAGACAAAAAAAGCATAATAATAATAGAAGACATTTTGATTCAGTTTAGTTCACTGTATCTGTACATGAATGCAGTGTTAATAATTATGGGACATCCTATACAAGATTTCTTTAATAGATTTGATACTTTACATTATTGTGGAAGATGATGTTGCTACTTCGGTATTATTATTGAATACTGGATTTGGAGTTGTCTTCAGTTGTTGTACATAATCAGTATTCTCTGCTTCTACATGAAAAACTTCGGATGATGCCACATCAGCACTGTCCAACACTATTTGTGAATTTATCAGTTGGATATCCTTCTGCATTGCTTCAGGAGTTTTCTTTGATGCACAATCAATGGATTGTGTTGTCTTATGTATCTCTGCAGCCATATGCGATTCCGAACATAAATGCAGTGTGGGGATTGCGTCCACTCGTAATTTCCGTCCTCTTAAAGGTGAATAGTTTAAAGCAACCTGTTGTGCTGACTTCTCAAAGCACCAGGACTCAAAATGCTTCGAACATATCCTTGCTGTTAAAAAATAAAATATATGTTATATTTGCAATTAATTTCCTAATATATTAATGTAAATCAATGTCATCTTACCATACGTCACATTTATTTCATCTCTGCATACTTTACGCCATGCCTCAATAAATTTAGAGTCTTTTGGAAACGTAAAATATTTGATTGTAGGGCTTTTCATTCTTGTTTTACGGAATGAATTAGAGCAATTTTTTACTCCACAAACACTCATTGTTTTCGAGAAATTAAATACACTATATACACATTATATATAGTGTATACACTATAAACAGACTTATATACACTATAAACAGGCTTATGTGTACTATAAACAAGCTTTCTTTCGCCAAAATTCACGTAAAATCACGTAAATCACGTAAGGCTCAAATGTCCAACGGCAAATAGTCACGCTGTAACGCCTATAACCACGAAGTAAAAGTAAGGAGACCGAACTCGGGTCGGCTACGGAGGAAAAAATAGCCCTGAGTAATGTGCGCTAGGGGAGGGAATCCGCTGGAAGAAACTGACTTTCCAACTCGCGTCAATATGTTATCGTCCCGTTCATGATCATGTCGGTGTGAACATTTTATTTGTGGAAGTGTGTTGTTGTTTACTATAGTATACGGAAGGTAACCTCACGGGTCTCAGATCTGTATACAGTACGGACACGAATGGACACGAATGTAAATCTGTGCAATTTCTGCTGTTGTCGTCAAGATGTCTTGCTGGATTCGAGATTGCACGACTCGGAAAGGGAAAAATGCAGCAGGAGAAAAAATAAGCCGGTTCCGACCATTTACGGTAAGAATAAAAATAATTAAAGTAAATATATTTCACTCTAACATCGTAATTACAAAGTGTTAGATGTTGCAAATATGTACAGACAAAACGAACGTCTTATATTTTTCTCCTCTACAGAAATTACGGAGATCATATACTTCGTATACTGATCATTTATTACTTATTTCATTGTTATTGCTATGACAGCTACTCCAGCTGCTTTACACGCACACCACTCAATAGACTCACGGACACAACACAGATAGAAAACTACACTATTACGCGACTTGAAAATAGCTGTTCCTTCTAGCGGATTCCCTCCCTTTAACGCACATCGAATGGGGCTATATCGGCCAGCTGGAGTTCGGTCTCCTTACTTTTACTTCGTG